TTTTAAACTTTCTTCAAAAGAAGAGTATAAATAAATAATCTGAAAATTCTTTAATTTTGTCCTTTCAATGAAATTACCATGTATTTGGTAATATGCGACAGGTAACCACAGCAAGAATTAACTTTTAGTAAAGGAACACAATATAGTTAAGAGCAGTCAAAACAAATTCACTGAAACTTGAAATGAATCACTATAAATCACGCTTCAATATGCCACTTCACTGTCCATACAATTTCAAGTTTCCCCCATTGCCTTGAGAATAAATGGCAGACTCTTTATCCTGGAAAATGTATCTTTCTTCACTCTGATCCCAACTGATCTTCAAAGCCTTATTTCCTTCTCCTATCTACAGACCCCATGTGACAGCAGAGTAATCAACAGTGTGGCCTCAGAAGTCAGGCAGAGATTCAGAAGGCCAGACGAAAACCTCTCCAAGTCACATCAACCGTGGAGCATTGCCACTGGCACTTGGAATATGAGCAGCAATCAGAGCACAATTAAATTTCTAGCGCTTCCTAAAATCTGGGAACTGAAATGCCCAGAATTAAGGAATCTTATGAAAAAGCAAAAACTGAATAGTCAACCCAGAATTACACTATTACATACATAAACAGAAAATTCCTTCTTTCTGGTGTCTTACCTCTGCTATAGGCACTGATGAGCCCACCATGGATGGTATGGACAAGCATGAGCTGAGGTCAATTTTGTTTGAGACTCATCTTTGGTTAGGTATACCCTGAATGTCCATTCAGGTCAGCTGGGAAACCTCATTAACATGGTATCAGATTTCTGCCTACTGCCTGAAGAATTCCTCAAACCTCTACTTCTAGGTATCATGGTCTTCTCTGGTTTCTTCTATTTTGACTTTAAATCTTAGCTCTCATTTTTAATCTGGTCTCTGAAATTTGAATTCCAATGTGAACAATTTGCCTTGTTTCTCACCTTTGTATTCCATCAAGACACTAGATTTATTACTTTCTTCCAAATTTATGAATACCACAGGTGTTGCCAAAGGAAATTTGATTCTTGTATCTTACCCACATGTAGGGAAGCTATGGCTATATCCTCTCTTTATCAGGCAGGCCCTACTCTCAATCAGTCTGGGTCATGGACTAGAATGTGTTTTGGAAGCAGAGCAGCTGGTAACACAGAGTCTAGACCAGCTGCCAAAAAGTTAGGCTTGAATTAAAAGGTGAACCAAAAGCAGTATGTCATGGGAAAAGAAACCAGTCTTGAGTTCTGTCTTGGCTTTGTTACTGACCAGCTAGCTCTGAGATAGCAAATAAATCCCTTAACCATTCTGAGGGTATCTCACCTCTAAGAGTTGCTATGAAGAATAAATGACGTGGCCAGGGAAATGCCTGGAATGTCTGGAATGCCTAAACTGGACTCCACATGTCCATCCACTTCTGTCCATCCTAAATGCCTGTGAGAAGAAGTTTGCAGAAAACACTGGCAAACCATATATCCTGGCTAGCCTGTGTGTTGTCTGTAGTTGTTTTAAGTATGTTTAACAAATTGTCTGTTTCAGTTCTTACAGAATATTCAGTTTTTCTAAGCACATTTCACACATGTCTAAGTTAAAAGATCACCTCAGCAGAATATGAAAGAGAGATGCTTGAACAAGGTTGACACAAAACATGGATTTGGGTGTGAGGCAGACCTGGTTTCACCAATTACTATTTGTACAATCTAGAGCATGCTTCATAATCCCTGAGTTTTCTCATCTAGAAAATGAAAAATGGCAATGGCCAAGACATTGGATTGTAGTATGGCTTTAACAAGAAAATGAATCCTTTCAAAAAAAAAAAAATGACACTATATTTCAAGGATTTTCCATGTCCAAGAAAAATAAGATCAATGCTACATATGTGAACCACATGTGTAGTGTCCAATTTTCTAGTAGCCTCATTAAAAATATGTAAAAGGTAACAAACAGAATTAATTTTATTTATTTTTACTTACTTTTAAATATTTTATTTATTTATTTGACACAGAGAAAGAAAGCACAAGCAGGGGGATCAGCAGAGGGAGAGGGAGAAGCAGGCCCTCTGCCGAGCAGGGAGTCCGATGTGGGGCTCGATCCCAGGACCCCAGGATCATGACCTGAGCCTAAGGCAGATGCTTAATGACTGAGCCATCCAGGTATCCCATAAAATTAATTTTAATAAAATAGTTTATTTAACTCTACATAACCAAAATGTCATCAGTTTGACATGCAAACAACATAAAAAGTAATGAGATATTATAGATTCTTTTTTATGCTAAATCTTTAAAATTGATGTGTATTTTATCATTTTGGAGTAGCCATGTTTCAAGTGGTCAATGCCACATGTGGCTAGGGGCTATCACATTGGACTGCAAAGGTCTAGGAGACACCTAGATTTTTATTGCCTGTCTTCTAATTAACTTACTTAGAACTCTCCCGTTGTTTTTTTTTTCACTCCTAAGCTAGAATAAAGGTTAAAGTATATGTGTTTGTTGCATACAACATTCTGTAGGCGATACGATCCTGTCTTTTCACCTTCTGTAACCAGTCTGAGCCATCCTTGTCAATTTTTAGTGGTGGATCTCTTAGGGAGCTCTACGGTTACCTCAGAGTAGTTCATCTGTCAAAACCACTGTTCAGGTCCCTGTGCAAGAGCTGGACTTTGGATAAGACTCTTTTATCAGTCAAAAGACCACACAGAGTCTTTGGAGAGGAAGTGAAAATATCCCATGATATGGACCTCGTTTCTTTCTAAAGCCCAGAACTCTTTTCACGAATTTGTTACTAATTCCTGTGAATAAACTATTTTCCTGTGACCATGGTCAATGACTGGTTAGGTGCAAAGAAGAAAAGGTTTTCTGCTTCATCAACTGTACTGAATCACCATCCTCTCAACTGCCTACATAAGAGAGGCCTTTCCCTCAGAAAGTGAGTTAGTCACATGAAAACCGCTAACTGTGTGAGGTGATGTCAACCAGAGACCTGGGCACATACTAGGCAGTAGCTCACAGATGAATGTATGGAGCTGGCTACATTAGGGGGAATTTGAATTACCTGTTAATATGTAAAGACTTCATTACTTCAATATTGGTTTATTTAAAACAAGATGTAATTCAAGGCTATTTCTATGCTGTTCTTTAATTTAAAAAGAAAAGAATAAACTGAAACTTAGCTCATTCAAAATCTTTTGTTTTGGTTCCCTGGGTTTAAAATTAGAGAGATTTTACTGTAAATGGCAAACATTGATCTTAGTCACTAGCTATCTTTCATAGTTCTAGAAAAGCTGATTCTCTGTCTGATTCCAATTTGCCTTTAATCCACTATCTGTATTATCCTCGTACAACTTGCACAACTCCTTACCCTTTCTTCATTTTGTGAAAATTTAATATTTATAGACTGTAATTTTAGGCTCTATTTTTTTAACAGCCAGAAACATCATTCAGTTCAATCATTCCTTCCTCAGAAGGAAGCTTAATGTAAATTCTTTCTAATTTTTTCAGATACATAAGCCATTCTTATATCCCATGCCTGTCCTTGATTCAGAGGTCTGTGTTCATTCCCTAGGGCTACAAACATTTTTAAGTTTCTTAGAAACTGACTTTACTCTGGATGGATAAATTTTCACTCATTCAAAGACAAGGCTTCCTTTACCTGGGCTCAGAAGGAGACCCCAAATTCTTGCAAACATCATTCTTCTTCTTCCCCCTGACTTCTTGTGGCTGACGTGGCCCTCCTTATTGTTTCTATTAATTATCTATCTCCAGTCCCTTACATGCACACTGTCACGGCAACCCCCGTGTGAATCCTATTAGCCTACCACCCAAGGCAACTCTTCGTGCAGAAATGATCTACAATGCCTGAGGGAAAACATCTTGTGGCAAAAGTAGCTGCAGCCCCAGCCCTCCAGTCATGGTGCTCCGAGCTGCTGCCCCTTTACCTTCAGCGATGGATCCATCCATCATTCCAATGCGCCTGATCATGAATGTGAGCCCAACTAAAGAAATAACAGTTTTGTCTATAAGTTTTTTTTCAATATGTGTGAATGGAAGGAGCATTAACTTAGCAGTGACTCCTTGTGACATAGTGGAGGTGGGGAGGGGGGACTCTCAGATTGCCAGTTTTGCTAGTATCATTCCCGGCCTATACCAATGTTATAGGACTGTGGGCTTTTATCTTTTTGTGATATCGTAGAATACGGCAATGTATTAGGACTTGGAGTTGCTTCCAAAATCTAGTTGAAATAGAATTGCATTATAATTTGTGATTAGTGACCAAACAAGAAACATCACCCTGAAAATAAAAGAGCGTACCATGCTTCCATGCTATTCTTTTTACTTTTCCATTTTGGAATACTTCCTTTCTCTGCAGATAGTTCAGCTGGCTAACAAGGCCAAGGTTGCAGCTTATAGGTATGTAGCTCATAAATGTGCACTCTCAGTCACTGACAGGACCCAGGGAGAAAGTGTGGCTAGGCGTGGATTGAGGCAAAATCATCACAGCTGTTCGGAAGAATGACACAGACGTGTGCTTGTGCAAATGGTGGGTCAGTGCCATCCTAAGTATGAATGAAGGAGTGAAGGAGTGTGTGTTGTATTCAGAATGACTGGCTTTGTTCTAATTATTTGATTTAAAGCTGATTACTCAATTTTTCTGGGGCTCACTTCAACAAAGACGTGACTTCAGTAACCCTTGTATACCACTTATATTATAGGCTTATTGTAAACAAAAAAATAAGATGAAATGTATGCTATCATAAAATACATTAAGAGATTTATATAGGCTAATGTTAAAAGAGCAAATTCCAGAGCCTGTCTTGCTCAAATCCCAGCGGCATTGCTTCAAAGGTTTTTCATCAGTAAGTGAGGGTAATGAAGACCCCTACCTCATACGGTTTTTAAAAGAGTAAATGAAATGATATATATGAAGAGCTTATAGCCCCTGTACACATTGTAAAAATCTCATTTTAAAACTCAATGAATGTTAGCTTCTTTAGTTGTGATTAAGGCTTTTAAAAGATATGGAATTCTTCACAAATTTGCATGTCATCTTTGTTCAGGGGCCAAGCTCATCTTGTCTGCATTCCTCCAATTTTGGTATATGTGCTGCCAAAGCAAGCATTCTTTGAACCACCTAAAACCCTGATTTGGAGATCCTGAAGAATTGTTTGATTAGACCATAGGAAAAAAAAATTAAGCCAATGGTAATGATATCATATTCAATAGCAATAAATAATTGCCCTGATAACCAAACCACACTTTTGGCAGTAGAGACGAGAACCAATTCGCCATGGCTGCTTTTCAGGTTTATTTTAGACTTAAATACAACAAGTACTGTGGATTCCTTTTTAAAGCCAAATGGCTCTGCTGGAAGAAAAAAAAAATAGGTATCTTGATGGTCTAGTGTTGGCTATATGTTTTCTTAATGTGAAATGAATGTTTGAGCTTATTACACTAATATGAGTCTGCCATGTCCTAAAATTTATTACTCCAAATCAGTGGTGTTTGTGTCGTTACTAGTGTGGTTGCTGCTCAGTACTGAAATGCATTCATTAGCTCCAAATGACAGAAATTGCACTACACTACAGTTTAATTTTTAAATTTTTTTTTTATTTTTTATTGTCAGCCTGCCTGTTCTTCCTTTGGAACAGAATAATGAGATAATAGTTAACGTGAGGAGTCGATGAAGATTTCACAGCATTGGGGTAATCTTCCTGTAAGCATGCCATGGTTTTTGCTCATTTTCAACTTGGTTATATTCACAGTCTTGTGAAGACATCATACCTGTTCCTAGTATAATAGGGCTATGTTTAGACAGTTTTTATCAATAAGATAATTTAATTGTAATGTTAGAATTTATCAAATTTATTCAAAATCTATCATCACAATGAACTGTCTGCTCTTTTAACTGTTATACTTTTTCAATGTATCTTTTCTGCCTTTTTTTTTTTCAATCCAAAAAGCTAAGTTTATAACAAGGCTAGAACTGCCTTGTTATAAAAATGAAGAGAGGCTGTGGTCGTAACTAGTCATTGGCATTTGCATATTGTTCAGAGCCTGTTCTTCATCTACCGGACAAATATGTCTCATTAACATGCATTAATGCCTGATTTCCCTTCTGTTAAAGAAATGATACAAGTCTGTAGCATTCTTCACCCTCCATAAGAAAAATAAGCTTATCTGAAAGAGGAAGTAAAGACAATTATTTGGATAATGTAAGCCCATCTTTCTCAAATTGTCTTGTCTAAAGTAGTAGTTCTCAGTTGGGGGTGGTTTTGTTCCCGTAGATCACTTGGCAATGCTTGGAGACACCAGTCACTGTCGAGACTGGCGTGGGGGGGCATTACTGGCATCTAGTGGGTGGATGCCAGGAAAGTGGCCAGTCATCCCACAATGCACAGGGCAGCCTCCACAACAAAGAATTACCGTGATTTGGTCCAAAATGTCACCGGTGCCAAGGTTGAGAAGCCCTGGTCTAAAATATCTCAGGGTCTCCGTTATTGCATCAAATCGCTTAGATTTTGAAATATTCAGTCCAGCTTACTAAATTTCCACCTTCTTTTACCTACAAAGAACTGGACATACTTTTTTAAGGGGTCTTGCTCAAATATTGTTGATGTGTTGAGGATTTTTCTTAAAAGAGGATGACCCAGATGAAAGAAAAAGGTCTATATGCCCTTCCTTTAAAGTGAGTTTTTAATTATGAGAACGAAGCTAAAGATGTGAAGCTTGATTTTTAGAAAGTATCTTTTCATTTAAAAAATACTCTACAGAGTTCTTTATTTTAGGGCTTTTCTTAAAGTCAGTGAGGTCAGACAAATACAGAAAATAAAATATATTTCTCTTTTCTTTTAAAGTGCAATGCTTCTACCTCTTTAAACAAATGCATGCTGTGTGAAGACTGACAATTGAATCCTTTTATCTGATCTCTGAGTATTAGATGACTCAAAATTTAAGAAAATGCAAGGAACATTGACTCTTGGAAAAACAGCCTATATCATAGAAAACGCACACACAGAGATACAAATCAACAAAGAAACAAAACACCCTCAACCTAGGCCTTTTAGGAAAAGTAACCATATATTTATGGGAGGGGTGTGTAAAAGCACTTTAGTGAAGAGAACCAGTGATCGCAATGCATCAAATTTAAGCGGTAGCGAGGTTATCACTCCGTGAAAAATCACATAAACATTTCACATATAAAATATTATTCATCAGGGCAAAACCCTCTAAGGGGTTGAGAGATAGCAAAGGTGTCGTGAAACGCTTTTTTTTTTTTTAAAGAAAAGATATATTCCACAACCGAGATGGAATCTGTGGTCGTGTAGTCAGTAAGAGAGGACTATAATTGAGAAGAAAATTAGCAAACCTTAAATATCTGCTTCTGCAATATCATTACCCATAAACTTGCCCTTTTTCCACCCTCTTTTCCCAAAAGACGGATGTCCCATATCTGAGCTGAGGGAGATGTGTGCTTTCTAACAGCTAAATCAACAAGGTTTCACATGAGTAGTGCTGTGCGGTGTGGTTGACTGATTCCATGAAAAACTAATCATGTATTCATCATTGAGATCAAACACTTCCCAAGTAATTATCATCCAAGCCCAATCTGATAGGGCTTGAAGAAGTGGCACTGCTGATATAATCAGAGGCTGAGCAGAAGAGTTCTCTCGGCTTTTGTAAACCTTGGGTTGGAAGGCACAAATCGGAAATTGTATTTTATAATTAAGAAAGGTAAAGTTGGCAGGCTGCAATCAATTATTTCTTTCAATCATAACCACTTAAGCTTGCCTGGTTATTTATTGGAGCACATGTTTAAAAATTGACTTTTCATACGTGGTCTTTGAAACATTTTTTTTTTTAATGTGAGGGGAAAAAAAGAAAAACGCAAAGACATTTTTGAATTCAAATACAAGCCCTTTGTGTACCCACCCACTACAAAATAGCGTCCTATCACATCTATGGTTTCCTTATTTTGAGCTGCGGTATTACTCTTTTTGAAAAAGGACTATTATTATATTGAATTGTATGTCATTACAAAATGATTGCTTTCAGAAAATCTTATTTTGGCTTTATGTCTGTGATTATAAATTTAGATGAAGACAAACAATGTAGAGCATTTAAATGCTTTACAAACTATTTCCACACACGTCACCATGAATGCTTCTTATGTGTCTGGTAATACATTAAGTGCTTTCCATGTAATATTACATTTAATCTTCAGACAGCTGAAAAAAAGAGATCAAGTTATAACCCCCACTTACAAATGAGGAAACCAAGTCATGGAGAGACTGTATCTTGTTCAAGGTCACAAATAACAAGTGACAGGGCTGGGACATGATGCTAGCCCAGTGAGTTTCAGGCTAGAGCAGGCCCCCTTGACCTTTATTCAGACCAGAGCAGACCTTCCTTGTAGTGTTTGATCCCGGGGTGACAATATTTTAACAAGAACTTTCTATATGCTAGAGGCTGATCTATGCATTTTATATATGACTGTTGGACCTCTCTGAAGCTTGGGTTTTTAATTTGTGAAATGGTTATAATAATCTCTATTTTCAAAGTTATGAAAATGGAGCTAATGTAGGTCAAGGCTCTACCACTGCGCCTACAGAGTATGGAGCTTTGTTAATTGACTTGTCGTGCATCCAACAGCCAGCAAACAAAGGGTCTGATTTACAAGTGGGCTGGATGCCAGTTACAAGCCTGAGAGGCTGGCAGAAATGCTACCATAATTATTGCCACAATTACAAACCTCAGGTAATAGGCTTTTTCTAATAGATCATGCCAGCTTCTAGAAAATATGTATAACTTCAAGATTAACAAATTAAATCACATGTTTTGGTTCATAGTACAACGAAATGGCTTTGCAAGTCTAAATATTGACATTTTGCAATTTCTTAAATGTGTACAGGCTGTACATACTTTATCCATATTTCACATGTGTCTATTCATTGTTCAAGATTAAATGAATTTCCTTAATCTAGAGAGCTCATTTTATTATCTATTTTTAATTTTTTCATTTATCATTATAGAACATAAAACCAAACTCTACTTCCTATAACCAAGTTGATTATGTAATTCTTTCATCAAATTTAGCAGCATTAATTAACAATCTACTATGTGCCAGACATATAGAAGGTAACTTACATATTTCTTACAAAACTGGGGTGTGTAGAATTGGGAGTTCTTTTGGATCGCCAAACTCATAGGAGCAGAGAATAGAATGGTCATTACCAGGGGCAGAGGGAGAGAGAAAAGAAGAGATGTTGGTCAGAGCACAAAGTTTCAGTTATGCAAGAAGAATAAGTTTTGGAGATCAAATGTATAGCATGGTGAATATAGTTATTGTATTGTATACTTGAAATCTGCTAGGGTGTGCCCACTACATACACACACACACACACACACACACACACGTGTAACTATGTGAAGTGATGGATGTGTTGATTAACTTGTTTGTGGCAATTATATCACAATGTATATGCACATTAAAACATCAAGTTATATACCTTAAGTATATACAACTTTGTCAATAACGCCTCAATAAAGAAGGGGGAGATTAATTCTTTTTACCCAAGTGAAGTTCAATTCATTTATAGGAGATTAAAAAAAATATATCCCTAGTTAGAAGGCTCCCCCCCGTCAGTGGAGACAAATATTTTCTTCATGTTTCACTTATTCCTAATCTGTTGGGGAGAGAAAATCACTTATTCATAAATCTTTGAAGAATCACCGCTGGCCAATGAAAACATGTGGATTCCCTCACAAAGTTCCTTAAAGTTAAACTGGGTTCCTTGAGAATGGCATCATTTCCACATATTTTACTGAGGTATCCTTTTAACTGGCTGGAGGTTATTTTCACCTCTTCAAAAATAAACCACTACTGATGGTCATTCATTTCATTGGAAGTCATTCATTTCATTGCATTATCGTCAAAGTCTCACATCCATGTAGCTCAGAGAGGAAATGGATTTCTTTGCTCATTAGACTGGCAATTGTTCTTCCTTTTGTAGGCAGGATTTATATACTTGTATCATTGTTTAGGGACTTAACTGATTTTTATTTGAGCAAGAAAGATTTTTCTCAGTCTATATTATGAAAATATGCCTGGAAGTATA